AGCCTTGTGCACCGCACAAATACTATCCCTCCCCGAAGGGATAGAAGACTTCGTTGTCTATTGCGATGCGTCAAATCAAGGACTCGGATGTGTTCTGATGCAACGAGGTAAGGTCATCGCCTATGCCTCGAGACAGCTAAAGATACACGAGGTCAAATACACCACACACGATCTTGAACTAGGAGCATTTGTATTTGCTCTGAAGATCTGGAGACACTACCTGTATGTTACAAAAAGCACTATCTTTACAGACCACAAAAGCCTACAACATATATTCGACCAGAAGGAGCTCAACATGAGACAATGACGGTGGGTCGAGCTACTCAGTGACTACGAATGTGAAATTCGTTCTCATCCGGGTAAAGCCAACGTAGTAGCTGACACCCTAAGTCGGAAAGAATATTCTGGTCGTAGAGTCAAATCTTTGACTATGACAATCCATTCACACTTGTCCACACAAAGAAAAGAAGCTCAGCTCAACGCTTTGAAACCTGAAAATGTGGCGGGTGAATCCCTGAGAGGGATGGATAAGAACTTGGAGGTCAAGGGTGGCGGAGCTTATTTTCATGGATCGGATCTGGACCCCGAAACTCGGTGGTTTCAGAGACTTGGTCATGAACGAGGCCGCACAACACTCGTTATTCCGTCCACCCAGGTTCAGATAAGATGTATCTGGATCTTAAAATTATACTGGTGGCCTAACATGAAAGCAGAGATTGCTACCTTCGTAAGTAAATGCCTTACTTGCGCTAAGGTCAAGGTCGAATACCAGAAACCCTCCGGTCTTCTACAACAACTGGAGATACTGGAATGGAAGTGGGAGCGGATCACTGTGGACTTCATAACCAAGTTGCCCAAGACAACGGGTGGACTTGATACCATATGGGTCATCGTCGATAGATTGACCAAGTCCGCACACTCCTGCCTATCAAAGAAACAGACAAGATGGAGAAGCTTACAAGAACTTACATTGGGAGATTGTACGACTGCACGGGTTTCCCATATCCATTATCTCGGACAAGATAGTAGAGGCACTTCGAGGTTCTGGCAGTCGCCTACAAAGTTCCCTAGGAACTC